CCTCATTGGGGTCGATCAATTAATTTTTTTCTTTATATACACTTCACTGTTCCCCTTTTCTGACATTTAATTCAATTAAATAGGCCTATGCCGATGGGTTTTTTTTTTTTTGTTTTTTTGGGGGTGTAGGAAGGGGAAGGGAGGAGGGAGATGGAGAAAGGAGCCGACTAACACGCCTACCCCCCCCCCTTCCCACCACCATAACCATTTTGCGCTTCCCTCCATCCCCTCTTCCCTCTCCCCCCTCTCCCACCTCACTCTTTTCTCCTCTTTCCCCCCTCCTACCCCTTCCCCACTCCTTGTCCGCCTCCCTTAACTTGTTCTTTTCTTCTCCATCTGGTTCTGAGTTTCTTGCAATAATTCTAGTCCATCATTTTTTTCATTATCCTTATCGTTAATTTTGTGTCAGTTTCTTTTAGCACAAACCTGTTGTAGATGGATTGTATGGACAAACCTGACAAGGTGGTATCTACATCCTATTATCTATCTATCAGCCCTACCTGTCTATCTATCTGTCGATCATATATCATCTATATATATGTGTAGTATACATCTATATATATATATATATATATAGATAATATTCTTATATATATATCTATTATATATATATATATGTATAGATATATTCATATATATATAATATATATAATGTGTGTGTGTGGTGTGTGTGTGTTATACATATATATGATATATTATATATATATTATATATATTATATATATCTATGTAATATATATAATATATATATATATATATATATATATTAATATATATACACACACATTCCGTATATGTATATATATATAATATATAAATATATATTATAGATATATATATATATCCCAGGTCCACTTCAATCCAAAGTGGACACCACCCTGACTGACCTTTCCCTTGTATTTAAGGCAGACATCTCAGGAAATGGCCCATAGGAAAGACTGGGCATGTCAAGTGAACTAACAGAGAATAGAGGGTCATGGAGAAATCGGGTGCCAAAAAGGACCTGTCGCAGGAGAGATTACTAGAAGAATATATTATATTTATATATATATATATATATATATATATATATATATCTATATATATATACATATATATATATGTGTGTGTGTGTGTGTGTGTGTGTGTGTGTGTGTATGTATGTATATATATGCATATACATATGAATATACAATATATAACTACTGGTCTATTTTGCTATCTATCTGTCTATCAATATGGAGTTATTAGAGAGAATAACAAGCACTGAAAACTTTCTATATTATTTCATGATGGGTCTGAAAGTTACACACACACACACACACACACACACACACACACACACACACACACACACACACACACACACACACACACACACACACACACACACACATATACATATATACATATATATATATATATATATATATATATATATATATATATATATATACATACGCACACACACACACGCACGCATATATATATGTATATATATATATATATATATATATATATATATATATATATATATATATATATATATATATATATATAACAATCCTCCCTGACCTGGCCTCGAACCTAGGTCACTCCGGGTAGGAGACCGAAGGGCCAGTACTAAACCAACCATGCCACACGACCCACTAAAAGGAGTGTGCAACTAGGATCCAACTAGCTCCATAGACATTACCTATCTACTCATCATGAGTAAGATAGCGAGGTTTTACACACACTCCCCGTGAGCACTCGGTGGGAATTGATTTAGAAATTCGAAACCGAAGTCAGATATCCTGAGGTATATATATGAAAGATGGAATAATGCAATACCGCATTGATATAGATATATAACAATCCTCCCTGACCTGGCCTCGAACCTAGGTCACTCCGGGTAGGAGACCGAAGGGCCAGTACTAAACCAACCATGCCACACGACCCACACGAATTTCTAAATCAATTCCCACCGAGTGCTCACGGGGAGTGTGTGTAAAACCTCGCTATCTTACTCATGATGAGTAGATAGGTAATGTCTATGGAGCTAGTTGGATCCTAGTTGCACACTCCTTTTAGTGGGTCGTGTGGCATGGTTGGTTTAGTACTGGCCCTTCGGTCTCCTACCCGGAGTGACCTAGGTTCGAGGCCAGGTCAGGGAGGATTGTTATATATCTATATCAATGCGGTATTGCATTATTCCATCTTTCATATAGCTATTTTACTCTAGCATGGAAGAAGTTTATGGGTAACCTGATAAAGAGAGGAATAAGTAAAGATGTGTTAGAGTATCAGACGATGACATGATAATCAGATGGGTACTTCCTTCTTAACTATTCATTTAGATTGATACCGAAGTTTACATCATCACGAAACACAAAGACATAAATAAATAAATAGATAAGATATAAATAAATAAATATAAAATACAGAGAAATTATAAAAAAATATTACAGAAAGAAAACCAGAGCCTCTCCCCCTCGCCTCCCCAAAAAGGAAAAACTAAGAAATATAAAAAAAGAAAGAAAGAAAAAGAAAAAAAGCTCAGTCACACAAAATATCCCTCTGAAATAACTTTATCAATTCAACCCGAACCATCGCCTCGTGTATAAACATCTATTCGCGTCATATCAATAAACCACACTAATAAAACTAATAAAAACACGGGTCTTCCTCTCGTAGCCTAGACCAGATAAAAGGGAGCAATCTGCAAGGCTCATAATAGTTTTGTCACGGCGACATCTGGCCTGAGTAGTCGCCTTATCACAGCGAGGGATATGCATCTAACGCCCTGCTGTTTTGTCTCTTGTCCTTGGGGGGAGAAGGGGTGGGGGAGCGGGGGGGGGGGGGAAAAGGGGGTCGTTTTTCGGGGAAGAGGGAATGAGGGAGCAGGGATAAGAAGAGTATATACATAAATAGAATGTATGTCTGTGTATGTATGTGTGTGTGTGTGCCCAGATCGATAAACACACACATATACACAACACACATACATATTACCTATTATTATATATATTCCTATATTTATATATATCTATATATATAATACATATATAGATATATAATGTATGTATGTGTGTATATATATGTATAATGTATATGTATATATAATATACCACATATACACTATATGTTTATGTGTACGTACATATACATACTATATACATATATATGTGTGTGTGTGTGTGTCCTATACCTGCCCTCCTCAACCTCTGGTCTAACTTAACATGAGAGAAAAAAAAACAAAAAAAACATCCAGGCAACAAGAACAAGACGCGACATCGCTCAGAAACGAGGAATGAGGAGCATCCCAACAAAGAAACATGAAACACATTTTCTGCAAGAAACTTGTGTCCGTCAAGGAAAAATACGAGGAATGCTTCTGCTGAGGTCCAGGCGAGGAGGGCGTCTACGAGCAACGGAATCCTGGATCCAGCTCGGTTCTCTTCTTTCTTCTTTTTTCTTCGTCTTTTCCCTTTTTTTCTTTGTTCTTCTTATTCGTTCGTTTTTTTTTCTGCTGCTGTTTTTTTTTTCTTGTTCTTGTTCTTTATTCTTGCTTTCTTCTTCTTTCTCCTTCTCTCCTCTTCCTCTTTATCTTTATCTTCGTTCTTTTTCCTACATCATTTAGCTTCTTCCTCCTCGTTACTTTCGTCCTATTTCTTCTTTCCTCGTCAATTTCTTCTTCTCCTCTTGAAGTCCTCCTTCCCTTTTCTCCTCTTCCCCTATCCTTCCTTCCTCTCGCCTCCTTCCTTCTTCCACCCTTTTCCTTACTCTCCTCCTCATCTTCCCCTCCTCTATCCCCAACCCTCCTCTCGTTCCTCCCCCCTCCGCCCTCCCTCTCCTCCTCTCCTTCCTCCCCCCCTCCCCCTCCCTTTCCCACCCTCCCCCCCTCATTATCCTCCCCCCTTCCCCCTCCCTTCCCTCCTCCCCCTCATTTATCCTCCCCCCCTCCCCTTCCCCTCCCTCTCTCCCTCCTCCCCCTCATGTTATCCTCCCCCCCTACCCCTCCCTCTCTCCTCCCTCCCCCTCATTTATCCCCCCCTCCCCCTCCCCGCATTCTTGGCCCAGTGAGAAGGGCGACCACACGTCGGCGAGAGGGAGGATCTAAAGTATAAAGGATAACTCATAATAAAGAGGATTGAATAAAGTTTATCAGTGTCAACGGGGAGCGTGGCAGGCGGGCCGGGAGATGTCGCCGCGAGAATATGGGACGAGCTTCTGTTGGGGTTTGGGTCTCACATTCCGGGACGGAGCTGTGGGGGTTTCGTTACCGCTCGTCCGCCTCCCTCTTTCTCGTTCATTTGTTGTCTGGATCAACAAGTCGCACCCACACGCGCGCTCTACACACACACCACACAACACACACACCACAACACCACCACATAGACACCCACGCACATACACACATACACATACACATACACACATACACATACACATACACATACACACACACATACCACACGAATACACAACACACACACACACACAAACACCACACACGCCACACACACACAGCGCATTCACCCCATATCACATATTTTTATAATATAGTATATACATATATATACATATATTTATATATATATCATATTTATACAAACATACACATGAGTATATAATAGCGTATATATATCAATATATATATACAGATATACATATATGTATAAATAATGTTATAGTGTAAGCACATACACACCACATATATACATATATATGTGGTGGGTGTGTGTTGTGTGTGGTGTGTGTTGTGTTGTGTGTGTGTTGTGTGTGTGGTGCGTGCGTGTGTGTGTTGTGTGTGAAAAAAAAAAAAAAAACAATAAAAAAAAAATATGTGTGAATATATATATTATATATATAATATATTATATCATATACACATATATATTTATCCCCCCCGCCCTACACACACACACACACTGACACACGTCTGCCAGACCTATTCTGCATCTGCCATGAACTACCAGTTTGCACTGATTAAATGCCTTCTGCCCGCAGCTTCACCGTAACCCTGGCACGGGAGTTTATCCTTGACCCCAGGGCAATTCGCGTGCCTTTTTATATCATTATCTATTACTATTGTTAGCCCTAATGTCCGGTATTACTATTACTATAATCTTGTCATTGCTGGGATAGAATGTCTTTATTACATTACATGTCCAGTGTGTTTCCCACTTATTTAATTTAGAGAAATTAATACTTTGGAACACAACATGTCCTACCTGTTTCCGGAAGATTTTTCATTCTTTATTTTCATCGCTGTAAGTAATTGATAACTCCTACATTATTTATAATGTAATAATTAGTAATGTAGTATCGGAACAAGTAGCGAATATAATAGCGCCTTTTCTCGAAAATTCTGGGAATGGGGAAATTGTCACTTGTAACCCTAACCTACAATTGGACAAGACATAACCCAGTCGGTTATAACATCATGCTTTTTATCATCATAATATTATCATTATGAATCCTGCATGTTGTAATCAGAAGCAGTTTACCCGTTTTGTTTCCGTTTTCTGTTAAGCCGAAAGTTAACAGAAAAAACGCGAGACTAATGGGCCCAGAATTTTTATCTTACGAAGTTCCATCGCAAATAAATGCACACGGTGGCGCGAGACCTATATATATATATATAATTATATATAGATATATATATATATATTATATATATATATATATATTATATATATACCACAACACACACTTGATTTTTGTGTACCATAAAGACTTTTACCTAGAATTTCATCTCGCGAAGCCCCCCCCCTCCCCCGCACACAACACAAACACACCACATATGTAATAACACGGTTCAGGATACCTATATGTAGACCTGATTACTAACTGATTGATTCTGTGTACCCATTCAGACCGGCCTGCTCAGTTTGAAGCCATTCTTAAAGTCACCCGAGAAGGCGTGGTCTAAATGATTTTGTTTTTTAAATCAATAAATTCTGCTATATATTTCCAACTCTTCATTATTTTCAACCAATCAAAAATCGTACTTTTAAAAAACGTCAGAAAACGATAGCTTTGCCCGCTGTTTTCATCATCGGAAAGAATAGGAAATTGAGCACTTCATGTCCAACCGAAGCAGGAGGAGGGAGAGGGAAGGAGAAAAGGGAAGAAATAGAGAGAGAGAGAGAGGAAGGGAGAGAAAGGGAGAGAAATAGAGAGAGCGAGAGGGAGGGCGAGAAGGGAAAGAAATAAAGAGGGGAGGGAGTAAGGAGGAGGAAAAAGGAGAGAGAGAGAAAGAGAAATGGTAGGTGGGAGAGAGGGAAAGAAAGGGAGGGAAAGAGAGAGAGAGAAATAGGGAGGGAGAAGAGAAAGAAGGAGGAAGGTATCAGAAAAAAGTTAAGAAGAGGGGAGAGAGGAAGATAAAGGGAGAGAATATAGAAGTGGGGGGGGGTGGGAAGGGAGACAGGGAAATGAATAGGATACGGAAGGAGGGAGGGATTGATGGAAGGAGAGAGCATATCTATAACGCACACACGTGCTTCTTCATACACTGATACTCGCTCTCTTTCTGTTTCCCTATCTCTCTTTCCTTTCTTTCTCTCTTTTTCTCGTCCCTTCCTTCCTTTTCTTCTTTCTATATCTTTCCATTCGCCTCTTTTCCCCTCCCTTTTCCCCTCACCTTCACTCTCTCCTTATTTTTCTTCTCCCTTCCTCCCTTCCACCCTCCTTTCTCTCTCTCCCTACCCCCTACTCACTCCCCATTTCTCGTCCCTCCCTCCCTCCCCTACCTCTCTCTCTCTTATCTCTCTCTCTCTCTACCTCCCTCCCTCCTCTCTCCCTCTCCATCTCTCTTTCTCTCTCTCATCATTCTCTGTCTCTATATGTATGCGTATATGCATAAATATATATGTTTATATATATACATATACATATACACAATAGTTAGCGGCGCCGAACCTCGGTTGATTAGGAGGGGCATCCATTAAGGCAAGGGGAAGACTATAACCTCTCAATAGTGAATAACCTCTCAATAGTGAATTTGAGATAGGCCTATGTCTTACAGTGGAATATATATATATGAATATATATATATATATTATATATATATATATATATATATATATGTGTGTGTGTGTGTTGTGTGTGTGTGGTGTGTGGTGTGTGTGTGTGTGTATGTGTGGTGTTATGCGTGTGTGTGTGTTGTGGTGTGTGTATGTTCATTATGTATATACATATTTGTGTGTGCATGTGTGTGCGTGTGTGTGTATAATACTGTATGTATATATTATATATATATATATAATATATAATATATATATCATATATATATATATATAAATATGTGTGTGTGCGTGCGTGGCGTGTATAAATACGTAAAGTATATAATATATATATGCATATAATATATATAGTATATATATATATATGTGTTGTGTGTGTGTGTTTGTATGTATGTGTGTTTGTGTGTGTGCGTGTGTGCATGCTTGCGTCGTGCGTGTATGGTGTGAGTGCGTGTGTGGTGTGTGTGTATGTGTTTTGTATATTGTATAATATATACATTTGACAATAATGCCCAAAGCATATGTGTGTGTGTGTGTATAGATATAATACAAACATATATACATACATATATAAAAGATATAAATGTGTGTGCTATATATGTAGATATATACATACACACACACACACACACACACACACAACACACACACACACACCACATATATAATATATATTATTATATATAGATATATATATGAATGGCACTAGAGAATATATATACACACATACCACATATGTATAACACACACACAGATAGATAGACAAGAGATGGATAACTTGCACTCTCTACTTGACAATCGTCCTGTCTGTTTTCTGTCTGTCTCTCTTTTGATCATTGACACATGAAGTTTTTTTGGGGGGGGGGAAGGGGGGGGGGGGGGTTTGGGGGGGTTTATAGATTTGTTTTTTTTGGGGGGTTTAAAAAAAAAAAAAAAAAATTGAAAAAAAAAAAAAATTTAAAAAAAAAAAAAAAACTAATGTATTGAAGTCACCACCACCATAAAGGCAGAAGGAAGAATGCAGCAATACAACCAAACAACACAGACCACAACAGAGGGAGCGTTCTCTAAAGAACAAGAGCTTGTCACACCAAACGTTAAATCATTATTATCAATACCACTGTTATTACATTTTGCATTTGTTATCACTACTGTTACTATAATAATCATTTTTATACTGATATTATCATATATTATTGTTACAGTATTATTTCTTCTTTTTCTTCTTCTTTTCTACTATTTCTTCTTCATCTTATTGGAGTTTTTGTGATTGTTGTTGTACTTGTTATTTTTTGTTGATTTTTATCTTACCATAGATCATGATAATGATGATGGATGAGAAATAATATAATATAATAATAATAATCATAATTAATATTATCATTATTACTATTATTATTACTATTGTTGTTGTTTTGTTGTTATCATTATCATTATTACTGTTTATTATTGTTACTGTATTATTATTACAACTATATTATTGTTCTTATTATTATTTCATCATCATCACCATATTATTATTTTGATTATTATTGTCATTATATAATTATCATTATCATTATTCTCTTGTATTGTTATTATTTATCCATGGTCATTATCACTCTTATTAATATTATTATATTGTTATTATTACTTTTTTACTTATTAATATTATCATTATTATTACTACTACTATTATTGTTATTACGATTATCATTAGTATTATCATTATTGATACTACTACTACCCTGGTTTTTATTATTCATATCATTATTTTAACTATCTGTATTGTATTGTTCCTATCTCAACATTATCATTTTATTAGTTTATTGTTATCATTATTTTAGTTTTATTTGTTATTATTATATTATTGTTTTTATAGTATCATTATTCTTAATTACTTATTGCTATTATTATTATATTGTTATTATTTCGATTGTCCATTATCACAATTATGATCTTTTATATTTTTTTCTTTAATTATTGTTATAGTTTTATTATTTTTTTGTTATTATTATCATTATTGGTTATTATTATTACTCATATACTTATTATTGTTATCATTATTTTGTTTTTAATTATATCAGATTTCCCTTATCATCACTGTTTTATTTTTATTATTATAATTATTTAATTAGTACTCTCATTATTGGTTTATCCTTATCATTATTATTTTTATTGTCTTTATCATTATAATTTAATCCTGGGTATGGGGGACGTTAAACTGCAACCTGGTTTGCCTTAGAAAGGCATATTCCCATTTTCCACCACTGTCTTTGGGTTAGGATTGATTCAAAGGCTAGCGGAGAGTCCGTAAACAAACCGGCAGAAGGCAACGGGAAACCACTGCTGTACCTTCCAAGAACAATCATGGGGGGGGGGGCCAGTTAACAACACAAGAGCATGATCACCCACGCCTGCCGGTATGCACCTGATGATGATTATGATCATTATAATTATTGTTATGAATATCATATCGATTGTTACTATTATCTCATATATATTATCATTATTCTCGTCCTTATTATTTGTTACATTATATTATTATTGTTGTTATGATTATCAATATTTTTCATTCATTTTTATAATTATCCATTATACTATTCCTTACTACAATTATTACTATCATTATAATTATTTCCTATTATTATCTTCATTACATTCCTCATTAGCATTTGCACACAACACATAAACACGCTCTCGTCTCTTCTCTCACACACACACATACAGCTTTTGTATTAATAGTAATTTGCCAGGCACAGACTTTACTTTCATTTTTTGTATTTGATTAAGCAGTTTACTTGTGGGTTATGATCGTGAAGTGATTTGTGATAACAATGTGAGTTGTGAGTGCCTGGTTTGATGCCGTGCATATGGATTATAATGCCGTATTATCGTACGCATATTGTGGTAATTATGTTATTATATTATTAACACTACCTCTGGTGGATATGTTATACCAAGTGAAATATAGAAGTTTATGTTTGTTTATTTGCTGTGTAGCATATCACTTATAGGAAAGAATAATATTCTCTGTTCGATTTATAGAGTACAACATTTTATTTTGTCTCTGTAGTCACACGTCTGGCAGTAAAAACAGAGAGACGGAGCCTGGCGTGTGGGGCAGAGGAACATGAAGAGTTCCGTATTACTTTTGTCAGAGCTGATTTCAAATGAACCTACTTTAGATTTCATCGGTGTTTTCCTTCGCCCTCAAGTATCACAGAAGGACACCATGCAAACAAAGAAGACGAACATTATC